TCTATTATCAGAAGGTCGCCGGTGGGTCATTCCATATCAAGTGATCAAAATAAAAAATAAAATTTTCCCTTATGTTTTTCATTCTTGTTAGTTTTTGGTTTATTTAATATACACATAAAACCAATTTAAAATTTAGAAAAAAAATATTTTTATCTCCTTTGGTTTTTTTGTAATCTTACTTTAAAGTTCCAAAAAAAGTGTGGTTTTGCGCTTAAAGGGATTTACGTTTTATTTAATATCTCAAGAAAGAATAAAGATAGAAAGGTAAAACAAAAACCATTCTTTTCAGGATTAAATTAGCTTTAATTTGATATACAACATGACAGTATTTCAAGTAATTAAAATTTCAACCCCCCAAACTCAAAATTTCAAAAGCCAATCCCAAAAAACGCATATGATTAAAAATTTTCAAAAAAATACCATGGATCCTTAATGTTATTAATAATTTATGTCCAAAAATTCAAGTTGGGATCTCAATGGGATCCATATTAAAATAATTTTTTTGTATAAGCCTGCAATGTAAATAGACAAGTCGTAGGCTACAGGGCTAATCGTTACATTCATTAGCTACAAAAATGTCTAAGTAACGTAACATACAATAAAAAGCTCAGTTGTACAATACAAGTACAGTAAGCCTAAAGTGTCTAAAATTTGGTAACTTCACTTTTTAAATAAGATATCAATTTCCTTTGATACAAGCTTCTTTGAGGATGAAGAGCAAGTTAACCCAGATTCAGAAATAATTGCAGAATTCAAAGAAAAATTTCAGAAAACTACAAAAAAAGTGAGAAGTTCTTGAGACTTACAACATTACCTAAAAGTTGGACTGTGAAAAATTGAAATCGAGTTTGGTGTCAGTAATAGGATGGCCAGAAGAGCTAAATCGTTAGTTAAAGAAAAGGGAAATAATGTCATGTCCAGACCCAAAGCCAGGAAACACTTTGGACCAGAATGTTGTAGATAAAGTCAAAGCTTTTTACAACTCTGATGATGTGAGTCGAATTATGCCAGGCAAGAAAGATTTTGTAGTGATGAAAGTAAATGGATAGAAAGAAAATGTGCAAGAGAGACTGGTTTTATTAAATTTAAAAGAATACTTTGAACCGTTCAAAAAAACAGAATCAGCTGTGAAAATTTTTTTCTCAAAGTACGCTGATTTAAGACCGAAGAACTGTATCTTGGCTGGGGGAAATGGAACTGACTCTGTTTGCGTGTGCACAACGCACCAGAATGTAAAAGGAATGATTGTCGGAGGAAAGCTGAAAAAGGTGAAGATTGATGAAGCTACTGATCTTGGCGATTACAAACAATGTTTGTCACAAATAATGTGCCAAGAAAATACCCCTGACTGCTACCTAAACAAATGTGTAAAATGTCCAGGAGTATTAAAACCAAAGAACTAAAACTAAAAGAAGTACTTCTGAACCACTTTGAAGAGGGGATGATAGAGACCATCACATACAAACAATGGGTTTCTGTGGATAGGTGTACATTTGAGACATTTTGCGAGACTGTAGAAGAATTTGTGGACAGTTTTTGTGAACAGCTTGTTGAACTAAAGAATCATTCATTCATATCCCGTCAGCAATCCAAGTACTACAAAGATTTGAAAGAAAACATCCAAGAGGTTAAAGCAGTTGTAAGTTTGGACTTTTCAGAAAACTACTCTTTTGTGGTCCAAGACGAGGCACAGTCTTTCCACTGGAATAATAACCTCTGAGCTACTGTGCATCCATTTGCTGTTTATTACAATGAGAAAGGAGAAATTAAGTATACAAGCTTTGTAATAATATCAGAATGCTTGATTCACGACTCGGTAGCAGTCCATTTATTTCAATTGATATCTTATTTAAAAAGTGTTAAAAAGTAAATTTTATTACGGTACCAAATTTTAGACACTTTAGGCTTACTGTACTTGTATTGTACAACTGGTTAGGCCTATAGACTATTAGCTTTTTATTGTATATTACATTACTTAAGACATTTTTTGTAGCTAATGAATGTAACTATTAGCCCTGTAGCCTAAGACTTGTCTATTTACATTGCAGGCTTATACAAAAAAATTATTTTAATATGGATCCCATTGAGATCCCAATTTGAATTTTTGGACATAAATTATTAATAACATTAAGGAGTAATGGTATTTTTTTGAAAATGTTTAATCATATGCGTTTTTTGGGATTGGCTTTTGAAATTTTGAGTTTGGGGGGTTGAAATTTTAATTACTTGAAATACTGTCATGTTGTATATCAAATTAAAGGTTATTTAATCCTGAAAAGAATGGTTTTTGTTTTACCTTTCTATCTTTACTCTTTCTTGAGATATTAAATAAAACGTAGATCCCTTAAAGCGCAAAACCGCGCTTTTTTTGGAACTTTAAAATAAAATAACAAAAAACGAGATGAGGTAAAAATTTTTTTTTTCATATTTAAGCTTCTTTTGCATAGATGTATCTAATGTAAAAAGATCAATCCTGTAAAAAATGGTGAGGTAATTGGTATTTGATCACTTGACATGGATTGACCCCGGTTCGATCCTGAGAAGTCAGTAGGTCAGAAGCATTATGATGTTGTTCGAAATTAGAAATTAGACCAAACTGTATTCGATAATTTGGGCTTTCAATAAAAAAGACCATGCCTAAAGGAACAGCTGATCTTAGTCAGAAACAAAGACATACGATTTGCTCACACTTCATTATAAACGCTTACTCCATTCATATTTAGTTTAAAACTGACTTTCCTCTTTTCCAACACTTATAATGGATACTAATGCCATAGACTAAACAACACAAGGGAGTATGTTTTATCTATGCTAATACCATGCCATAGATGTAAAATACTTCCTTATGGGTTTATCATGCTAACGATCAGTTACGGGTAATCTAAAGGCATTTGTCAGTCTAATAGTCTGCTTGGTGTTAGTTACTTAATACTTTTTAATGACTTGAAAAGAAAAACGGTGTATTTATGAACTACTTTGACCTCTGATGGTTTAGTAGTAAAAGAACAGCCACAGTAAACTTTCTGGGAGAAAAACGTCAAATCTACGTCAGCATACTTGTCAGTTGTCACACGGATAACACAGACTTCGCACAATGATAACAATACTTGCAGTCTCCAAAGTCAATAACAACACCTACATTGTAAAATGCATTGATTATTCTAGTTCAGCAATTATTGTTGATTCAGCAATCTTCAATTTTCACAATGTTCTTATCTGTGGTTCAGTGAACCTTGGTCTGCACCAGAGTTGATTATTGGTTTAAATGCGTTTAAAATACATTGATTACGTTTCTCATTTGTGTACCAACATTTGAGTTTCGAAATTCGTGATAAAATAAACTTTAGATGTCTAAGCAACATTGTGAGCTATTTATGAAGGCTACAATGGCGTTAACATTCTAATTATGTACTATATAATTATTGTTTAATATCCATTGAAACAGATTTTAAATCGGTTACATAGCCTAAAACTTTGTGTTCCCTTAGATATTAGATACGTCAGTGTTTATTTTAAGTGAAAGAAATATTACTCCTTAGTAACAAATTAGGTTTAGGTTTAACTACTTTGAATCAATAAACAGGGTGAATAAAAAGTCAAGTCTAATATCCCCATCTAACCTTCATCTAATATTTTTCTAAGTAAATAAACAGATATATCCTTTTGGTTGTCGTGCAACGGTGCAAACTTAGCAGGAAGTTTCTTTTTATGATCTTGAACGTTTTCAGTTGCCCCAAAATCCCCCATATTTGGAGCACACTCAAAATTTTCAAAAAATAAATGAAACCTCTGCTAAGATTGCACAACCATCGAAAGGATATCTTTGTATATTTATTTAGAAAAATATTGAATGAGGGGGCTCTTGACTTATTATTCACCCTGTACACAAATCAAGGTATACAAACATTTAAGTAAATTCCTACTTAGATAAAATAATTTACTACATGTTTTAGAGTTGTAAAAAAGTGAGTACAAAGGTGTAAACCTTTATTTTGTTGGATAAGACACTCTTATTCTTCCACTATATTCTGTGGTATTATCTGAATAGCGTTTTAGTCTTTTGAATTTTACAATTTTTTAAGTAGGAAATAACTTAGTCCATGACATGAATGTACATAGACCATTGCCCTACACAAGTTTAAAAATGTTTTGGAACTTAAGTGGTCATAAAAAGTATCTTTTTAATGGCTAAAAATGTTATCATGTTATGTAGAGCTTGTGAACTGTGTGTACATCCAGAAAAAAATGTATTTTAGTAAGTAGGGACAAGCAATACCAAGAACGTTTCTACCTTTTATATATCGTGGAGAAATGTAATGAGCCTGGCTAAATATTTACAAAACAAGTTAAACCAATTTAAGTCAGCTATGGAAGTTCTAGTTTCATATCAAAGAATATTTTAAACCACACACTACTTACCTTTGACGCATGAACTTTTCCTTGGACACATGTTGAGAAGGAAGTGATTTGTTAAGAAACACTTAAGTTGTTGAATCAATTCAATCAAGTCACCCTTGCAGTAGGCGAGGTACGTTTACAATCTTAGTTTCAACCACTCAGTATATAGAATATTTCTCTATGGAAAGTAAAACGTCAGGTTGGAATTGGTTCACTCTAAAATTTCTTGGTTTTCAGTTCTTATTTGTCTTCTATTGTTAAAGTTAAACATATAAAATAATCTAGCCTACAGTACCATTTTTTACAAAATAAAAACACTGTTATAAAAAGATTGTAAAGAGAGCGGATACCTACATTATAAAAACTTTGCCATATTAAGTTACTGTAGGCCTAGTATTAAACTTCATGTCTACTGCAAAATTTTTATATTCATGTCATAAAACAAAACTGTTTTCAGAATTCCAAGAACTATGCCTAGTTAGGTTATGTGTGCTGTTCACCAAGTTATCTATTCAAATCGTTCAAATAGGCTCGAGCTTAATCGATTCAATGCCTTAAATCTTCAACCACTGTGATAAAAAGGTTAATAACAAGACAGAAAATACAATTAACATAATTTAATAACCTTAAAAAAATCAGTACAAACTATTACTAGTCAATGTTTAAAAACTAGAATTCAACCATCAGCTAAAGTCGGGTTCAAACTAACTACAATCACAAGTTCCTATCGGAAAAGAAATTAATACACTTAATACTTTGGTTTGCTCGATTTTGAGACCTACAAATTCGATCTATTTCGTGATGTAATGTTTGAGAACCACGATAAAAACAGGAACAATAATAAGCACCGTTGCCTCGTATTGGTAAACTATTTTCGTTTTTTGAACAATTGGTATCTATTAAGTACTACTGAATTTGAATTTTGATCTAAACTTAAACCGGGTTAGTCCCTTTGGTGGAAAATCGTATATCTCAAAATGAAAGCAGTTAACAAATAACCTTACTCAGGTTTGTAGATACGGGTGGCAGTGATGTCGCCGACTTTGATGACCATCTTCACCTCTTCGGGTGTGAACGTCCTGATGATTGTCGTGGTCTTCTCTCCCTGTTGGACATGGGTCAGCTTGTTGCCCTCCTGGGTGATCATGGACTTGACAGTCCTGCCGTCTGGAGTTTCCTCCTGGAACTCTTGGCCAACGCGGAACCTGAGGTCGGTGTTCTTGAAGGTGCTCTTGGAAGTCAGAGAGTACTCTCCGTTGCTCTCGGTCAGCTCGATCACTGGAGAAGCAGCGTTCCCTAGTTTCCTGGTGATCCAACCGACTCCCAACTCCTTCATGACCTCCTCGAAGTTCTCGGAGGAGGCGAGTTTGTACTTCTTCCCCAACACGGGAGCCAGAGCTGCCTTATCTTCAGCCGCAGCGCACAACTGGACGACGACCGCCGCTAGACAAACCAACGCTAACTTGACCATGATTGTGATACTCCACTGACGACTGTACTGTGACTGTGATCAGACGATGCCCCCCTCCAGTATATATCTTGATCCCCCTTCTTGACCTGCTAGGCTGGACAATCTCCCGATGCTAAATATCCCCGACCTACCAATCTTCAACTGAATCTCCAACTGGTTTAATTGACTGCACAAAATTAGTTTCGTGACCGATTGATGTAGCGTTCTTTACAAAAGTGAAGAATTGTTTATTTCAAACACATGTCATTTAGAATTGATTCAATTGTTAAAGATTGTTTACATTTTTCGTAAAGTTCAATAGCAAGCTTTACGTACAGGGAAAAAGAAATGGAACTGTAACTGATAATATTATTAATGATGTTTAGATTATTACATATATTTATTACGTTGAATAAAATATATCGGCTACGTAACGAAAAATAAATATATTTATTTTTAAATAAATAATCGTTATAAACTTGTGGTGTTTTACCGCTGCCGTAAAAATCTATCAATATTTACTTCACAAGTTAAGATTTTAAAATTAATTATAATTTACTTCTGCCACTCTTCTGAATATAGGTCTAATTTTGATAGCTAAATCGTTACAGTAGCTTTCCTTCTTTATGTAAGAACAGATAGACTAACACACGTCAAAAATATGGACACATCCACACATCTTATTTAGACGCTTTCACAAATCGTTGTAAGCTTAACGATTAAAATGTTTTGTATTTTTAATATTTTTAATCATTAAGCTTTAAGGGATTTTAAGAACGAGTTGGTGTTTAACATGATTCCAACTCGGTAAAAAACAATTTATTAGTCAGGAAACCTAGGAAGTAACTGTGGAAATAAAGACACACTTTATATTTAAAACATTAAAAAACTTCTTTATCAGCATTGTACATGTTATTCAGTTTTTTGTAAGTAAATACGTCAAGTAACAGTTTAAACATACATTTACACTTGTAACTCACAAGACAGTTAATGCATAAAAGATGGTAGTGATGATCGATTTTGAATGGACACTCCAATCATCATCAGACCCAATATGCTAATGTATTGGGTTCGATGATGATTTGATGACTAATTTATTTTGTTACTTATAACTTGGTTCATACTTTTAAAATACGAGAACTGTTAACATACTAATAATTTAGAGACAGTTTAAAACTGCTCTGGAACTAAACCAGAACCAAACTGACCAAGGAAATAGAAACCTTTGCTTAAGGATATTTGTTACATTTCGTTCTTATTAGTGGAAATTTACAAGTTCTAGTAATTAACGGCGTTATGATTTGGGTTGCAGGCTATTGTTTGTTTGAACTAGTTAACGTGTAGGAGAAATTCAAAACAAGTCTGTAAAATATTCAGCCTATGTTGGTAGTTTCTAGAATAAACGATTCATTATTGCATTCAGTTATCTAAAACGCCACAAAGCAAAACTAAAAACATCGTTTTCCAATAATTCTTTCCTATAACATAGAGCTTAGGTTATAGATTATTTTTCCATGTTAATGGAGTAGCTAGTATTACGTATAATTCATAATTTGGGCAGTTTTAAGGCGTGTTGAATCTGACACTAGACTGACTGAGTATGTTTAATCTGTTTCATACTGTAAGTAAAATTGGATTACAAGCGTGATCCTTTCTCATCCCACACATTATATGTATCTATTGGACTTTCAATTGTTTAATGATGCTATGTAAGAAAAAGTCGATGTTAGATAGTACAAGACCCAAGATATGGACCGACGCAATAAAACCCGTATAAACCCAAGTAACTTAAACCAAATAAATTAAAAGCATCTTAACAATAAAAATTTGAAATAGATTCATTTGTAAACTTTAGCTTGTCACTCAGATTACAACCAAAACTCAAACTACACAATATAAACCTTGAATTAGCGAAATACCCCTATAGTCTGTATGGTGGAACCTGTCTCCTGAACCTTATTCTACCTGGGGCTGTCTCGAGCCTTAAACTATTGGACAGGTTCTTTCAAACAGACTTAAATCAACATCTACACACTCTTACGCAAATAGACATAAAAAATCCATTAAACAAAGGTCCAAAGTCAATAATGTTACAAAACTTTTCTTATGGGTGTCGATGAATTTGATAAAACTCAAACCATAGACTTTCAACACAAGTAGACTGCTCATACCATTGTAAATTTTGAAGCTCGTTTCTCGTGTCTAGTTCATGTCCGGTGACACTGATCGCTAGTGTCGACGAAATTTAGTTTCTATTAATTTAGGGTTAATATAATGATTTTCGTGCTTGGCTGTTTCGTTAAAAGGGAATGAGTTGTCGTTTATGATCAGATTGTTTTATTTTGTTAAAGAAAGTTTTAAATGACTGTAATAACAAGAAACAAATTGTAAACAAAACAAGTCCTCTTCAGTGCACCGGACAGAACTAACAATAAAAATGGCTTCAGCTGTTACATAAACGGACGAAAATCTGCTAAGGGAGTATCTTAAACAGATCGTTTGATTTTCAAGTGGGGTTTTTTTATTTTTGGTCTATATGATAAAACACCAACATGGTTTATTGTGATAACTATTTTAACTTGGAAAGTGTTATATTAGAATGTATGAAAAAGAAAGATTATACAGAGTCATCGAGAGTCCAGTTAAACGGTTGGAAATCAAAATATTAAAATATTAATTACCATCGATAAAATACAAATAGAATCTTAATCTCCTACTATTACGTACACAATATAAATTACCTTTGGGTTTCCTAGTTTCCTAGGTGATGGTTGAAGCAGTGTGCGTCACTTTGAGGTTAGTTTACCGCCATTTTCCCGCTAATTGAAATACAATGGGTCAAGATTAGCCGGCAAGGTTGACGTGAATAAAGATGAAGATAGTGAGTGGATCTTTATTACCACATACCTCCTTTTCAGTTAAGTGTTACTGTTTTGAACTAGCACTACTGGTTCAGGTACTGAAGTAGACATCTCATCTATCAAGATCTGCTGTAGCAGTTATACAATTCAAATAGAACAAGATTAATGAGCTCACAAAATGAACTTAAAATGTTATTCTTTCCTAGTTTGGTATACAATGCTAGTTATGTGACATAAACGCTATAGTTTGCAAGTTGTCCTTCCAATTCGACTTGGTAAAAAAAGTTCCGATAGAAATCGGTAACTAAAACTGGCTAAAACCATTGACTATATATACCTACAGTAGGTATATATAATCAATGCTAAAACTTAAGCATAGGAATCAAATTACTAATAGTATGCACTGGTGTCGGTTAAATTGTGTATTTATTTTTCTTCTAATAAAGATAAACATGCGAATGCGAATTAATATATTTTATGATGATTTTTAAGACCGCATTAACGGGTTTCGTATATAGAACTCCTCTCAAAGTACTTGGCCAAATTGCAAAATGTTCATTTTAATGGATAACACCTAGCGTTCAGTGAAACACCGAAGTAAGTCAAGCATCATTGTGCCATTCTTGAGTATTTTGTATAATATGAAACCCCCCAAAGATAATGTAATAACTGCAATAATGTAGAACACTGTAGTAGTCTATCATTCAGCTGAGCCACATCGATGAGAAAAGCTTATCCATCTACATTATAAATAGTTATTTGTGCAACTAGTAAGCAAAGTGAGCAATTGCCTCACTCGAGAGAAATTACTCACGAGCCGTAGGCGAGTGATGAATTGTTTCTCGAGTGAGGCGATTGCACTTTGTACTCGAGTTGCACATTATATTTTTCCTACAGTTACCATAAAACAAGTAAATTGGTAAGGAAACGTGCCTTCACGTTGCAAATCTGGAGTGAGACAATGTTAACATTGTTAACATTGTCTCACTGATGAGCGAATTGGCCACTTTCATGCCTTCACGTTACAAATCCGGAGTGAGACAAAGTAATTAGAGTGAGACAATGTTAACATTGTCTCACTGATGAGCGAATTGGCACTTTTCTTTCTCAAATCAGTGAGAGAACATGTACATTGTTAGATAACTGTAGGAAAAAGATTTTTTTTTCATTTTTGTATTCAGAAAATCTAACCCCTAAATATTTTTAAACCCGTAGTGGCTTCGCTTGCGAAAGTTAAAAAGTTAAATGTTCAACCTGAGTAGGGCCTACACTTCTTGATTTTTAATTCATAACTATTAAAAATATGAAATGCAGTACAACACTTTTACAAGTTACAAAAGTAATGTAAATATTTCCTTTTATTCTAATCAAAATATATAACCAGCTGTTCCCTTAATTGCTTAATTAATAGTACAGATTCATTTAAGTATTATGTGTTCAAATGTAAACAAATCTTTTCTCCATAAGGATAACATGGTAGCTTTAAAAGCCCCTGTTGGAATTTCTTGAAAACGCTTCTCATTGCACATCTAGAGGTTGATTGGAGCCTCCATTCCTGAGTTTTTATGGCTTCTGGTTTTTTTTTAGATATAGGTAGTGATCAGTGAGTGAGTGGTATTTATAATCTAGATTGGGTATCTTGAAGCTCTTATCGTCTAGATGTGCCTTTTGTGGGTTTGGATGATATCCCCTGAAAGCCCATCGTCCTGTAGGCTTTTAAAATTTCACAGTTTGTGCTGAATTCTGTTGTCAATCATTTGAACTAATCAAGTTTATATTTGTTTACATCCATACGAAAATAGAGTTATTGTTAAAGTGTATGATGTTTTAGTGAATTCTAGTAACACACTGTAATTATCTGTATAAAATGTAAAGAATAAAATGACTTGCGTTAGATTTTGTTTTATGATAGGGTTTTCTGGTTTCATAGCATGTTTAATATTGATGTTTTAGTGAATTCAAGTAAATTAATATTGTAACATTATTTCTTTAAAATGTTAGCTCAGACTTTGGCTGAAATAACGTACTTATCTAAAGAGGTTTTTTATTAAAGTTAGTTTTACTTCATTATGCATGATTTCATATTGTATTGGAAAAACTAAATTACAATGTTATGTTCAAGGTTTGCTTAAAAAATTAAAGTCAATGAGTCAGTGATAAGTAAATGATTATCACGTAAAAAATAGATAATTTTCCACTTAACTCAGAGCAATAGAAAATTGTAAAATAATTCAAATATATCACAGATGTTAAAGTGATGCTGATATGGCTTTGGCTGCTAGTAGATAAATATGGGATCCATTCAGCCATGTTTGAAGTCAAATAGCCAATGTGTTTAGTTTGTTTCCCTACAGTTTAATCGTTAGC